TTCTTCTTTCAGAGAACTTATCAGTAACCAAACATTTTATCTGTGCATTTATTATCTATCTCCTCTTACTATAMTATAAACACCTCAAAGGCAGATAGTTTTGCTGACCATTCTGTCCCCAGAGCCCAGAACAGAGTAGGAACCAAAAAAAAAAAAATATTCAGCAACAAACTGTTCAACACTTCTAAGATTCTGTCTTAAAGAAATGGTCTCAGAAACATGCAAATGTTTGCCAAGCACCTGTAATCTCAGGGACTCAGGAGGCTGAGGCAGGAGCATCACAAGACAGAGAACAGCCTTAGCAACTTAGTGAGGCTATAAGCAACTCAGCAAGACCCTGTCTCAAAATAAGAAATAAAAAGGTTTGGGGATATAACTCAATGGTAAAGTGCCCCTGGATTCAATCCCTAATACCAAAAAAAACAAACTCACACAGATTTAAAGTGAAGGAATATTGTGCAGCACTACTAATAATATGAAAAAATTTAGAACAACCTAAGCACCAAGAATAGAAACTTAATTAAGTAATTCCACACAACTGTATACTCCATAATAATTTCCATAATGCTTTAGCTCAGCAATTCTCAAAGTATAGTCCCTGAAATAGGAGCATCAGTGTCATCTGAGAACTTAACAGAAACTTAAATTACTGTATTTTAAAAAGTTCTCCAGAAGATTCTGCCAAATGCCAACATTTGAGGACCACTGCTTTAAAAGAAGTAGAATGCAGATTTCCTCAAAATACTGATACATACACACACACACACACACACACACACACACACACACACACACTTTTCATATAGTCCTTTCATCATGTAAGGACCTCCAGTTAAGATGGCAGATTAAAAATACTTTAGCTTCTGCTCTCTCCCACTACAACAATTAGTAATTGTTAAAACTATAAAAATCCAAGAACAAATAACATGGAAAAGGAGATAACAGCAATAAAATTTTAGAAGCTGGAAAGCATATGGCTAGGTAATGACTGCCTTGGCAGTTAGTGAAAACTAGATCCAAAGTGAGCAGCAGAAAAGCCAAAAAGCAATCTAATTTTTCACTAGAGATCGCTAAAGGCAGCTCAGGAATTGATTAAATTAGATACCCCTAGAAACTGGATGAGGGCAGGGATAACACCAGGAGGACTGCTTGAAACTCTTGATTTAAAAACAGTTAAGGCTCGGGGATGTAGCTCATGGTTACAGTGGTACAGCAATTGTCCAGCATGCAAGAGGCCCTGGCTTCAGCCGCATTTAACAATAAATGCAAAGAAGGGAAAGAGGAAGATGCCCACACACCCAGATTCTTACCCCAACTCTATACAGCCATGTGACTGCCCCTCCCCAATCTTGGCATAAAATTGGAAGTCTCTCCTCTACAGAGTAAAACAAAGGGTCTCTAGAATAAGGTAAGTAACTAACATTGCATGGTGGAAAATGAAAACAGGAGAATTAAGTGAAAGTCCATGTGCTGAGTACTGTAACAAACTCCCAACCCCCTCCAGGCTGCTTCTTGCCCAGTTCCCAGAACACTGATTGCCAGGATTATACACTTGCTAAAGAGAAGACTCAAAGATATTTCTCTGGGGAATCTGATCAACTTGTTGGGGGTGGGGTAAGTGGGTAGAGATTTAAAGATAACAATGGAGGTTCACTAAGAAAATAACCCATCTAGATCACCCCTGTGTACAGAACAGAGCTGACAAGACTCACCACATGCACAAAACTTTCGTGTGTGTCTCTCTTTCTGGACTGTTTTTATTTGTATTGGTGCTGGGCATCAAAATCAGGGCCTCTATTGATCAAAATCTCCCCAGCTCTTTTGTTTCCTCCATTCTTTTTTATTTCTATTTTTTTTTATTTGCAGTTTGACACAAATCCTTTATTCTTTATTTTTCTGTGATGCTGGGGATTGAACCTAGTACCTAGCTCATGCTAGGCAAGCGCTCTACCACTGCACCACAACCCCAGCCCCTCCTCCATTCTTAACTAAGAAGAGCCACCATAGATTCACTAAAAATCTGAAGAACGTCTCTATCATAAAAAACAGGAGTGAAAATAATCAAATCAGAGAGAAAATCATTAATATCCTCTGTGAAATAAGAAAAGGTGCTCCACAAAAAAATGAGGAAATAAACCAGGAAAAAAGATTAAGTGAAATCCAGAAAATAAGAAAATCAACAAAAGAGAAGTGACAGAATCACAGGATGGTAGTAAAAGAGATTCCAAAGTCGGCCAGGCCATAGGTCTTGGGACAATGCTGGAGAGAATTCTTTCAGAAGATAAAATTAATACAACATTTAAGGTAAAAAGGAGATTTTTAAGAACTGGGAGAAGGTATAAAGACACATTAGTAATAAATCATAGATTAGTACAAAAAGAAAAAAATTATAAATTAGTAATAAACAGAAAAGTAATCAAATAACAATAATTAACTCAAGGAATATTAAAGGATACACAGAAAAATCATATAAGCTATATGTTTCAGTTCTGAATAGCATTTTTATATTTATAATCATTTAGCACTAAATACTGATCTAGTTAAAAGAAATGTATAATTGGATTGGCAAGATGGAGAATGAGAAATACAGAATCATGTTCTGGGGATGATCTGGGGAAGAGAGGCAGCAGGGATGTATGAAAGAGCTAAGACTCCATCTTCCACAATTGGGAATTCAATAGCTAACTTCCCAACCAGAAATTAAGATAACACTTGAGGCATGTGATTCGGWGATATAGGACGTTACAAAAAATTGAAAACAGTGTCTCTTGGGAAAAGAACATTCAGGCGGATGGTGAACTATACACTTTTTTGTTGTTGCTGTTTTTGCAATTTTTCATAACAATATTTGGAAATGATCTAAATTACACACATGTAGAATTTTAATTAAGAATTTTTAAAAAGGGGCTGGG